GCTACAGGAACAGAAAACAAGTCAGTTGGTGGCCAGGGATTGGGGTGAGGCAACGAAGCCATGATGGAGAAGCATGAGAAGTTTTTTGGAAGTGATGAACTGTTCGAAATCCTGATTGGGGTGGGATTATAAAATTCATAGAACAGTATATCCCCAAACAGTCTTTTCATTAAAATAATAATCTCTCTCTCTCTCTTTCTCTCTCTCTCTCTCTCTCTCTCACACACACACACACACACACACACACACACACACACACATCTCTTTCTGACCATGCAGACCATGTCTGTTCACCACTGCCAAGAGTATTCCAGGTATAATAAGACTAAATATGTTTTTTTATTGAATGAAAACCATTCATTCAAAATGTATCACTGGTACCTGAAAGATGGGGTCTAACTTATGTTTTAATTATAATGGGAATAAGTAGCATTTACTAACTGCTTTTTTATCTGCCAAGTACTGTAAAAGATTCAGATGCATTATTCAAACACATTTGTAACTCTTAGACCATTCTATTATTTATACTGGCATATTTTGTGGCTATTTTTATTTCTTGGAATTTCAAGTCTTTTGGTTCTTTTTGATTCTTTTGGCAAACTTTCTTAAATGGACAAGATCGCAAGTTGTACAGGTAAATAATAGCAATGTAGTAGAATGACCACCAGATGGAGACAGAGAACACAAAGTTATTCAGACCCAAGGTTTTGCGGGAGTTGTTTCCCAGGCTCAGGGATACACCTGTAAATGAGGTTGCTTCCATTAGGACACTAGTTCTCAAACCTAGCTGCTCATTAAAATCACCTGGGGACGTTTAAACTACTGATGAACAGCCCCCTTTACCCCAGCCCTGTTTTGTGGTCTGGAGTATGGTCTTGCCCCTCAGAGTTTTAAAAGCTGCACAAGTGATTCTTGTTGCAGCCAAGTGTGAGAACCACAAGTTTCCACTGTGCACCAACAGGGGCCTCAAGCTGGTGTGTTTCAGAATCATCTGGGGAACTTGTGAAAAACAGAGACTCAGGCTGTCGTAATCTTCACTCTTTTGAGAACCAGTGTATTCCGAAATGAGGACACACCAACTTTACAATAGTTAAAAATATAATCAGTGCTAAATCTGATACAAGGCCAGGTGTGGTGGCTCACACTGTAATCCCAGCACTGCTAACAGCTCCCTGACCTGGAATCAGCCTCCTGCCCTCCCCACCCCCGTCATCGACAGAAGTCAGGCTCTGTGGGAGGGCAGCCCCACAGAGGTCTGGGTGGAGGCATTGGTGGGGACGCGGGGTCAGGGACAGGGAAGCTACCTGTTTGGGCACAAAATCCAGGGGCAGCACAGTGACACTGCCTCAGGCAGTGCCCACTGGTTCTTTCGCTTCTGGCCAAATGTGTGGCTGTTCAGCGTGCCCAGGAACCTGCAGGTGGAGGAGCGGAGAGGCAGCAGCAGGGGCCCCATCACAGTCCAGTGGTCTGAAGGACAGAGCATGCATCACTCTCGTCCCAGTGTGGCAGTGCCTCTCGCCCCAGCCTGGCCCCCATGGGTGTCTTGAGTACAGAGGTGGGACCACCAGAACCACTGGACAAACATGCCAGAACTTCTGGTGGCCCAAAGATTTGCAAGTGAAATGTATCAAAAAACATGACCCAATGCAAACATTTTGAGCTACAATAAACAAATGTATATGAATTGTAAGAATAAAACATGGCAGTCAGGCACCCCCTGCGCAGGCTAGGCCACCAGATTCCCAGAATTCTGCACTCCAGTACATGGTGGGAAAGGCGAGAGAGCTGGGTTTGGAAGAGCAGCCATGTCACAGTGGATGCATGTGGGGCCACGGAGCCAGGCCCCGTCCCAGAGGCAGCCCCGCAGATGGGGTGTATCTCTTTCACACTCCCTCCTCCCCATCTCCCCCTCTCCTTCTTTTCCACTTCTCTCTCCCTCTTCATCTCCCTGCCTGCCACTGTTCAGGCTCCTGGGGCCCACCTGGATGGGCACACACAGGCAGAACTCGTAGGCTACCTTTCATGGCACACACACAGGGCTGTAGGACCTTGGCCCGTCACCTCCCTGCACCCTCAAAATGAGAGGTGTGGGGTGTGACCATGCTTTCCTGGGCAGGCGCCCCACACTCCAGGAAGCAGAAACTGCAGAAGAAAGCTGGCTCAAGTGGCGTGCCCGAGGGAATGCCAGCATCGGTCTTGGAATCTGCTGAGGCCAAAGCAGAGGACACCAGCCCAGGCCAGACCCTGTACCAGGGTGGGGGTCGAGGAGGTTGGGGGTGAGGGTGCGGGTGGGGATGGGAGCAACCAACTACAAACCAGTCCCAGGCCGGCTTCCTGCTCTGCACCCTGCCAGGTAAGGCCTCCCGTCCTGCCGTCCTGCCCTTACCTGTGCCCCTCACCAGCTCCACCCCTAGGCTGCCCCAGATCCAGGCTCCAGAATTCTCCCTGGCTCCAAAAACCAAGGACAACCACTGAGCTGCGCAGCCCCTGGTCCCTGAGACAGCCAGCCGTCTGCGGGCTGACAAACCTTGGCTGTCACTTATCCCCCACCCCAAGACAGCCACACCCCCTGTCCCCCCAGCAGCATTACCACCTCCTCCTGACTTTAGCCCTGAGAGCCCTGCTTCTTGGTAACCTTCCCCGCTCCCACCCCGATCCAGGCAAGCTCAAAGGCCAGCACCCTCCACCTACCCTTCCTGGGGGCCACTCTGCTGTCTGCTTGCCCAGATGTCTTAACTTGGCTTTACCAAGGTTAGACAAGGTAACATGGATGAGCCCCCAGCCTCTGCCAGGAAGATTTGCCAAAATATTCTCCATTTAGAAGTGGGGCAGTGACAGGACCTAGTGATGACCCCAGGCTTGTCACCCAAGCAACAAGAAGGGCAAGGAGCCTGGTTTCCTGCCTTTACCCTCCGAGGACATGGCCAGGGCTCCACAAGGCCCTGCAGGGAGTGGCAGGAGAGCAGATCCACCCACCCCTGAAGAAGCAGCCAGCACCTCCAGGAAGCAGCAGATGGGGGCACGCTGGCAGAGCCCTGAGTGCTGCAGAGCAGGGCCAGCAGATCCACACTCAGCCTCAGCCCCGGGGGAGCTGCAAGACAGACCGAGACCCTCATAGATTTGGCTCTGTGTCCTCACCCAAATCCTCCCGTGTCAAGGGAGGAACCTGGTGGGAGGGATTGGACTTGGGGTTAGTTTCCCCTGTGCTGTTCCCCTGATGGTGAGTGAGTCCTCAGGAGAGCTGATGGTTTTAAAGTGTGTCACTTCCTTGTTCTCCACTGACTCCCTCCTGCCGCCTGGTGAAGAAGGTGCCTGCTTCCCTTTCACCTTCTGCCATTATTAATGTTCCCAAACTTTGAATCAATTAAACCTCTTACCTTTATAAATTACCCAGTCTCAGGTATTGCTTTATAGCAGTGTGAAAACCAACTAATGCAGACCCCTTCCCTGAGAAGCCTTCTCCTTAGGCCACCAGCTGCCCCCACACTCCTCCTCTGCCCCCTGGTCTGGCTTTTCCCCTCATTAGGGCCAAGGGATCCATGTGGCCAGTCCAGCCCCATCCTACTGCGGGCCTGTGTGGCTGCTGGAGAGGCCGGACTTCTTTCCTCACCCCGAGGCTGCCTGATGTGCTCTCTGGATCCTGGAGGAAACTGACCTCCTATTCTCAAACTGGTGCAGCTTCTTCCAAGACCTCAAAGTTGGACGACATGAGCTGGTCTTTTCTGTTGTCTCCACTTGCTAGGGCTGTCATTGGGCCAATGGATGAACGGATGGATGAATGGACAGTAGTCCAGGGAGGATGTCCCTGTTTATCCTGAACTGGGCCCTTCCTCCAATGAGAAGCCTTCCTGACTGAGCATACACAGTCATCCCGTGGCATCCAGGGAAGATTGGTTCTAGGGTCCCCGGGGATGCCAGACTCCATGGATGCTCAAGTCTTTGCTATAACACGGTCTAGGATTTACATATAACCTACGCACATCCTCCCGTATACAGCAGACCATCTCTAGATTAGTTATGATGTGTAATACAGTGTAGATGCTGTATGAATGGTTGTGATACTGTATTGTTTAGGGAATGATGACAAGAACAAAGTCTGCACATGTTCAGTAGAGACAAAGCCATCCTATCTCTTCTCTGAATGTTTTCCATCCGCTGCTGGTTGAATCCACAGATTCAGAGCTCCCGAATATGAAGGCCAACAGTGGTTTCAGAGTAGAATGAGTGAGGTTGCTAATGAGTACAGGGGAGCAGGTGTCGATCAGGAGGGCCCTGCCCTGGGGCATGTGGACGCCCTGTCTCAGGACTTTCTCCAGTTTGAATGGCACAGGCAGACTCAGCCCAGGTCAAAGCCCTCCCCCTGAATGTTTTTTTTATCCCAAGCTCTTTCTGGCCCCTGGAATCTGGCATCCCCTAGGCCCTGGGTGACAGATGAGCCACATTTAGAGTACCTGTCTAGGAGAGTGAGCTTCTACTGTGTGCCGGGCACGTTCCCCACAGGATCCTCTAGCTAGAATAGCCAAGGGCATGGAGAGAAACACCCAATTAAAATATCAGTAATAAAAAAAGAGATACTATTAGAGATGCTAAAAAGACACTTGTGATACTAAAAAGACCATTAGGTAATAGTGTTAGCATTTTGATTCTGAGATTCCATGGCAGCAGTCACTTCCCTCCACTCCTATGTGTATCCCAGGACCACCATGGGCGGGGAGGGATGAGGTTGGGGAGCACCCATGGATGCTCTGATGCTGGCCCTGAGCCCCGGGGGTGACAGTGATGAGGAACTGGGTACACGCATGAGTGGGGCAGCCAGGCCTGGCTAGAGAAGCAACACACATGTGCACAGACTTGTGTACCCACATAAATGTGAGAACACACATGCACAGACACATTGCACACAGGCATATTGAGGCCTCAGGCAGTGGAGGACTCTGGGCCCTGCTGACCTGGGCAAGGCCCCATTGTGATGCGTGCCATGACCTCAGAATGTCACCAGTGCTTAGCACCCATCTGCTCTCCAGCATGCCTCTGTGTTCTATAGCAGCTACACACACAGTGGTATCTGTGAGCACCTCTGTGTACTCAAAGGTTTTCTACCTGAGAGGCATAACCCAGGCCAGCTGATTCATGAGAATCAGGTGAGTGTGACCTGCTCTCTTCCCTCCGTGATGACTTTGGGACAGTGGCTACACTGCGGTGGTGCTGGCCTCTGTGCAGCAGCTGCCGAGGAGGGTCATTGCTGAGCACTCACCAGGTACCCACTCTACCCTACCCATGAAAACGATTGTCTCTTTCGTCCTCATGGTGGCTCTGTAGGGTGGGTGCTGTTCCCAAATGTACCCATTTGATAGGTGAGATGTCTGGGGTCAGAGAGACGTTAATCATCTTGGGAATCCCTACGTGACCCTGGATTTTGCTCTCAGTCCTGCCCTGTGCCGGTCTGGACTTCAGGCCTGAATGCTGTGGCCTCCCTGCCCTAGATCTTAAAATCTGTCCTGGGTTTCCGATCCTGATGGGGCAGAGCCTGGCCCTGGCAGAGCCACTGGGATGAATCCACTGTGGGTGAGGAGGATGGGAGGGTCCTGAGAACATGTTAGTGGCCTAAGCTGGGTCCTGCTGGTCGCTGTGGGACCCACTGAACACACACAGTCCCTTGTCCAGGATGGCATAGGGAGCCTTCTGCCCTTGGGCAGTTGTGGAAAATGATGAATCCCTGGAGGGCTGGCTGGAGGGAGTCTGTTACCTACCCTCCTGTTCAAAGGAGTACAGGCACTGGGGTTCTCCTCAAGTATTTTTTTCTCTGTCTGGTCCTCTCCAGGCCTCACCCTCCTTTTGCCCCGAGTGTTCCCAGGAGGGAGAGTCCTTCTAGTGTTCTCCAGGACCAAGGACCCACTGTTCTTCCTCAGTGACCCGGGAAGATGGAGCCCCCTCTGGTCTGGAGAGCTCAGAATGGTAGCATCCATTGTCCCTCCCCCAGAGACATGGTTTCCACGAGCACATAGTAGATCATTTTCATCACCCAAACCAAACACCCTTCTGCTCAGCTGCTGTTATTCCTAAAGCGGCTTCACTGGTCAGACTGAAGGGCCATGGTAGCTCAAGTGATGAGTGGAGTAGAACAGAACAGTCAGGAGAGATCTTGTTCCCCATGGGAAACTGGGCATCTCTGTGGTCCCTGAGCATCCCAGGAGACCGATCGTACAAAGACCTCTGGTCCCTGACCTTCAGTCTGCATCCACATCCCTAGAATAGCCCATCATGGGCCCTTCACCCTTGGTAGGGGGACACCCTTCAACCTGCTGGGGCAGATGTGTGCCCATTTCATAGCATTTGGGGACAATGGGATTCTCTGTCCAGGTCCCACTGTTCTCAAGTCCTTGAGAAGATGCCCACCCCTGCGTGGGGGTTGAGACTCCGGAGACCCATGCAGGTGGGGCCACTGGGCCTGTCCCCTTTTCACCTAGCAGCGGTGGTGGAATGGGAATTACACAGCCAGCCAGCATCTGGGAGCCCGGCGGGAGTGGTTCAGGTGTTCTCTAAAGCTCTCGGGTACAGGGTAACAATTTTGTCTCACAGGATGGACATGATAGAGGATGAGGATATTTTGCAGGAGCAAGAGGACAACATCATGAAATATGAGAAGGTACAGCTGGTCTGCTCCCTGGAGGGAGGCCTCTTCCAGTGCGCCCCGCTCAAAGGGTCCTGGGCTCCCTAGGAACACAGGGCAGGGATGAGTGGCTAATACCCCTGGCCCTTGTACCCTTTACCTTGGACCCCTCAGCAAGGCTCCCTCTGGGTTGCAGGGACACCAAGCTGGCTGCCAGCGGACATGGTGCCTGAGCCTGTTGAAATATACAACCGCACTCATCGCTTTGGGATTGTGCAGTGAGTCCTCCGTGCTCCCCTCAGCCCCTAAAGCACCTAACCCAGCTCAGGGGCGGGTTTGCTTTTAGAAAGGCCTTTCTGAGGAAGGCCATGTCTCCCCAAGTCAGGCCAACCTCCTTTCCAGGGTCAGACCTCCTCCCTGGCTTCCCTGCAGATCCAGCCTGGGGTTGTTAGGCCAGAGGTTAGGGCCATCCACGGAGTGGGTGGGAATGGGGAGGGGGCTGGGTCAGGCCGCTGGGCTCTCAGCAGTTCTGTCTCCAAGTTAGTATAAGAGGAGGGGAGCAGCCTGAGGGTCTGGCCCTGTCCACTTGGAGACAACCCCAGTGGGATCCAAGGATTGTGGCCACAGGGTGAGGGGACGCCTGGCCCAGCCTCAGGCCTGTTGTCCGGCATTCTTCTCTTGCATTTCCATAGAGCCACAGCCCTCACTGTCCCCATGGAAAAGGGAGAAAGGCATGGGGACAGTGGGGGCTGTGGCCCTAGGGGGATGGGGAGAAGATGGGCAGGGCCTTGTTTTGGGCATCTTACAGTGAGTCCAGGGAGGCAGCAGAGCTTGTGGCTTAAGAGCCTGGGTCTGGTGCTGGGAAGGGATCTGGGGCCAGGTAAGAGGAGCCCAGCCTGGCGCCCATCCCTCAGGGATCATAGGATGCAGAGATAGAGGATCCCCGGGGAGGAAGGGTGGGAGGGAGCTTATGAGCCGTGCCACTTCTAAAATGCAGGGTGTGTGGCTCAGGTGCACGGAGAGGCAGGTGGACGCTGGGAGGTCAGACCCTGCAAGGGCTTTGGGCGTGTTGGGGCACCCCATCATGCAGCCTGACCATCCCCCACATCAGGGGCCCCAGTAACCCCGGCCATGCTGGCCCTGCACTCCCTCTTCTCCCAGGTCCTGGCCCTTCCCGGGAGTCAGCCCCACAGGAAAGCCCTTGTCCTCCCTCCCCTGTGCCTTTTCCTGGGCTGAGCCCTGAGCTGGATGGGGACAGAGCCAGTTCTTTCTGGGGGTCAGCTCCCAAACTGATAGTTCCAGGCCCTGTGCAAGTCCTCAGCTCTACCTGGTTGCCTTACAGTGAGATGGAGCTGCCCCCTGTCAGTACCCAGGAGGCCAAGGTAAGATCCTTATGCATGGGGGCTATCCAGGGACAGGGGGACTGGGCAGGTGGTCAGCGAGGCAGAGGAGGCAGCAGGCCTGGGCAGGGGCGGGTGGGAGCAACACACTGTCACTGGGAGGGGCAGCTTCCCTGCTGGACCTGACCCCAAGTCACTGTACCTCTGGCAGTTTGATGAAATTCCAAAGTGAGAACCAGAGTTGTGGCTTGGGGGTGGCTGCCCACTTGTGTCAGAACCCCACCTAGAGGCTGGGACCTGACCTATGACTGGTGTGTTTGTGGCCTGAGGATGGCACATCCCAGGAACCCCAGGCCAGCCCATTGGCGCTCATTTGCTCAAAGGCTCTTAGCCCTTAGGGTCTGCCCTTCCCTGGCTCCTTCCAGCTGGGTCCCACCAGGGCTCCAGAGTCCAAGACCCAGCATCCACAGGCCGCTCTGGGAAGCCTGGCAGCTCCACTAACTCCAACGTTCTTCACTTGACAGCAAATGCAGCAGGAGCTGAGATGCAAGATAAGTGGATGGAAATGCTGGGAGAATGGGAGAAATATAAGAACAGCAAAAAAATAATGTGTGGAGGGAGAGGCCCCAGAACCACTCTCTGCAGGGACAGGGGACAGGCACCCATGGCTGTGGCCTGGCACCATCAGCCTCTCAGAGGGCGGGTGTCACACTGTCCTCATGCAGAGGATCGCAGGCCTGGTAGCCAGCTTTGCTGCCTGTTGGTGAGAGTGTCACCTTGCTGGGAGGGAGTCTGAACCTAGGGCTGGGGCCACCCAGAGCTCAAAGCTAGGGAAGCCTCCTGGTGACCTGAAGGAAGGAATAGGTCCAGATCAGAGTTCAGGACTCTGAGTGCTCATCCACACTCTTTCCGTCCTGGAGGGGAGACCTGTCCCAGCTTGACCTCACCTCTATCGAGGAATCATGGGGCCAAAACCAATGATTTCCAGAACCTCGGGCTTTCGTCCTCTCTGGGGTTGCCCCTGGCCTGAGTCACCAGATTGTTTTCTGCCCACAGCTGGTTGGAAGAGTCTATAAAGGGATTCCGATGAACATCCGGGGCCAGGTGTGGTCAGTCCTCCTCAACATTGATGATATAAAGGTCTGGGGGTCACTCTTGGCCAGCAAGAGGTTCCAAACCTGAGTCGGGGAGTGCACGGGAAATAAAGATAGACAGAAAGCGGGGTCAGGAGGGGTGTGGAATTCTTATTCCACACCGAATTTATTTTTCAAAGCCTCAGTGTATATACATTTTTCCAGGCTCTGGTTTACGCCATTGCCAGAGGAAATGCAAATCACTAGATGACCTACTCTACACAATAAAGATGGCAGATACATAATCAGTGGTTGTAAAAGGTGATAGTCATTCCTGGTGCTCATAAAGAACATTTACATGGAGACATTGTTCCTCGTGACTGCAAGAGTTTTTGGTTTCGAACATCTGATTATCTTTTAAATAGATTCCCTTTGTCTCTACTCCACTCCTTCAGGAGGCCCTGTGTCTGGGCTCAAACCGCTTGTATTGTAAAACTCGCTTTGCAAGCATTTACATGGGCGGGCTCCCCACATAAAGGGGAAGAAACCCAGCAAATACCAGGTACACTAAGCCAGAGCACAACAGACAGGCCAGACCGTGTCAGGGGCCCAGGTCTCAGCTGCAGGGAACGAACATCAAGCCCCGCCTGGGGAGGGTGTGTGAGCTAGCCAGATGCACATCCTGGGCACAGACAGCAACTTAGGCACCACAGATCAGCTCGGCTTTGGGGACCCTCTCTGGCTTCAGAAACAAGCCAAAAAGCAGCTTTCTGCAGAAGGAAATCTTCCTTCTTTCCTTCCTTCTGGAAGTGCTGACTGTGGGATGACTGCCCTTTGGGGCAGGGAGTCTTCCGTCTGTTCTGAGGCTGCTTCTTCCTCTTGGCCCTGCCCTACAGCTCATGAAGGAGAAGGGGAAGAGGTCCTGTGAACAGGTGCACCAGATCAACCTGGATGTGAGGAAGACACTCAGAAGACACATTCTTTTCCGGGAGCGATATGGCCTCAAGTAAGCCCATGGGAGCCACAGGGTCCCAGTGGAGACAGGGTGAACCAGAGGGATGGGGCCTTCCCCAGAGCAGAAGCCAGGGTCACCCAGGAGGGTGACAGAGGTGCCAAGGGTTCTCCTGGCCCAGAGAGCAGCCAGCGCCATGGACCGAGCAGCTCCCAGGTTCCAAGCCCTGGGCCAGGCTGGAACATGTGGGGCCAGAATCTAGGAAGATCCTAAAGAGACAGAGGGCAGCAAACAAAATCAGGCACAAAGGTGAAAAGTGCTCTCCCTGAACCATGGGGACCCATGGTAGCACCCATGGGAGAGCAGCAGGATGGAGGGCCCATGAGCCTCCCCAGGCAGCACTGACAGCACCAAATGCTGGGGGCATTCAGAATCCTGGAAACTCTCATCCAGGTCTGCTGGGAATGTGACATGGCACAGCCACTTCGGCAGCCAGTTGGACAGTGGCTCACAAAGCTCAACGAACTTGAACCTCATGTCCCCAAAGTGTCACAGATATTGAACCCACTGACTTGGAAACTGACGTCCACATGAAACCTGCATGCCACATTCACTGCTTCATTCATCATCACGCACACACGGAGCCTCTGGGGACAACCTTCAGCATGAGAATGGGGTGAGAAAGGCCGGTCCTCCCTTCAAACAGAAGACTCCGTGAGAAAAGGGAACAAGCCAGTGATGTCTGCAGGAACATGGGTGGTTCCTAGATGCATTCTGCTAAGGGAAAGAAGCCAGAAACAATAAGCTACCACTAGGATTCCCATTCATAGGCCATTCTGGAAAAGGCCAAACCAGAGGGACTGAGAACCGGTCTGGGTGACCAGAGGCTGACGGAATAGGGGAGACTTAGAGGATGAAGGAGTTGCTCCAGGAGGGGCTGGAGTGGTGGCCAGGAGACTCTGCACATTGGGTTAGAACCGTGGCGGAACTGTACACCCAAAGACTGAACTGGCGTGTGTACAAACTGAAAAAAAAATCAGAGCAAAATGATTAGTCAACTCACCATCCAACTGGGATATCTGCATTTCACAGATGTGGACTTTACTGAAACCTTTCTTAAACAGTCAAAGGCCCTGAGGAGCTCACTGCTTATCTGGTGAATCATCTGAACCTGAAATGGGATTTGTTGTTAGAGTTTGTAGACAAAGTGAAACTAACAGCATCTGCACAAAAGAAACAAAAGCCCCCTTTCTCTGTTTCCTAGGTGGTGGGAATGATTCCACATCCTGCTGGCGTATTCAGAGTATAACCTGGTGAGTATTCCCGGGCAGTGACCATATTCCTGGGTCATATTACCCTATTCATCGGCGTGGGTATCTATTGGGGGTGTCATTGCTTCTTTCAAAGTCAGTATTTGTGATCCACCAGGATATAGAGGGCATGACTAGCTCACCGCTGGCATAAACCTCCAAGCAAGGGGGGTGGTCTCAAGGGGTCTCCAACTGAGACACAAAGGAGTCAGGGACCTGACTCCTGGTGTCACCTGGGCCTGACCACCACTTCTCAGAGCAAGAAATGACACCTTCCTTCTGGGGCTGCCCCAAAGCCCAGGACCTTGGTGGTGTCGGATGCAGGACGGTGCTCTCAGGAGACATTTTGACAAGTTGCTGAAGTGCCTGATGGACATGGCTCTTGTCATGAAATGAAATGAACTGGCATCCTGAGGAAGCTTCTTCTTCAAAGGAAGCCTCCCCAGTCATCTCTGCCCTCTCCAATGACATGAGTCCTCCTAGGTGACATCAGTACCCAGGTGATATCCTTCCATGGTGACTCTGGCTCTTGCAGGAGGTGGGCTACTGCAGAGACCTGAGCCATGTGGCCGCCTTACTCCTACTTTATCTACCTGAGGAGGACGCATTCTGGGCACTGGCGCAGCTGCTCACCAGTGAGAGGCACTCCCCGCAGGGTAGGTGGACAGCTGCCCCTCAAGCCTCACGCAGCCAGACCCTGGGATGGCCACCCTGGTTAGGTGATCTTGACTTTCAGTGAAGGCACCTTCCTGTGTCACCAGCTTGTTGGGAGTCTTTAGGATGCCTCTGCTGAGGGTCCCACAGGAGCGCAGGGCTGACCCCTAGAGCCCAAGTCAGATGCCTTTCATCTCCATCAGCAGAGGGCATCTCATCCTCCCCATGGCCGCCCTCTGTGTCCTGGAGCCACGCCCTCCGGCTCTGATTCTGTGCAGTTGACTCTCCCCTCCCTGAGAGTCTTCCTGCCCTTCAGCTGCCCAGGCTCCAGCTACCCTTGGTGCGCACAAATGGGCCAACCTAGCCCAGATGGCAGCATCTCCCCATCCCGTGTCCCCTGGCCCGATGCCACTTTCAAGAGACAACCACGAAGCTCAGCACCCACTCTGTTCTGGCCGCCCTCTATCATGGCCTCAAAGTCAGCCTTGCCTTCCCAGCACCCTGGCCCAGGAGGCCTCAAGGAGCACCTCCAGCCACGCTCCAGGGGATGGTCCCACTCCTCCTCCCCAGACCCAAGGCGGCATGGTAGGGTGAGCAGATGGGAGGGTAGGAGGCCTCAGGGAGTGGGGGCCTCTGCAGCTGCCCAGGTCTTTCAGCTGATCACTCCACATCTTGGGAGAGGGCTCTGATTTCATGATGGGTTGGGGGCTTCTCAGCTTTCCATAGCTCAAATGGCGGGACAGTCCAGGGGCTGCAAGACCATCAGGAGCACGTGGTACCCACATCACAACCCAAGACTGTGTGGCATCTGGTGAGTTTATGGTCTTCTCGGCTCTTCCCCAGAGGCCCTGCATCATGTGGGGCTGGAGGAGCAGGGGAGATGGAGCCCCTCCTGGGGCTGGTGACAGGCTGAGTCACAGCCAGGGCCTGACCTGGGACGTGGGGTTCTCCGTGGCCTGGGAGTTGGGTTTTATTTCCAGCCCTGGAGGAGACAGAGGCACAGGGACTGGAGCCTGGCTCCCGCAGAGCAGGGCTAATGGCAGTGTGTCCCCAGGAGTGCAGGAAAGAGACCATGTTGTGGGGAGCCCTGGACACCACCCAGTGTTCTGCACTTGGGGAGGCGTCTTCAGAGGGCCCTGGAAGAGGGAGGTTTCTAGAGTAGCCCAGGGGACCTGAGCACATCTGTTCATCCAATCAGGACAAGGAAGGACTAGTCACACAGGGTTCCCCATTAGGCTGGCTTCTCTGGATGCTGAGTGATGGGGTAAGGAAGCACAACGAGGCCCTGGCTCAGGGACGCTCCTTGCCCTGCAGTGCCTGGCTTCCCCAGCCCAGGGGTGTAGTTTACCCCCAGCCCACAGGAGGCTCAAGCAGGTCCCCGCAGGACACACAGCAAGAACCTCTGCCCAAGAGGGGTCATCCCAGGGCAGAGGATGAGACTCAGGACCATCCTCATGGGCAGACTGGGCCAGGACCCAACTCCAGAGGGCTCAGGGAAGTCTCAAGCCCTGGGCAAGCCCCTTCTCCAGAAGCCACGTCCCCACTGAAATGAGTGCCCTCCCATGAGGAGCTGCAAGACCTTGTCTGACCCAGCCTCCCAGAGGGGTTAGGCCACCCTGATGGGGAGGGTTACTGACTCTGGGGACTGAAGCCCCAAAGGGCCCAGCTTGAGCCCCCAACCTGTCTCAATAAAAAAAAAAGAAAAAGAATATATTAGAGTGGGACACTGTAAGGGTAAGAATGATTTAATGAAGTTGTTTCACGTCCTGTGTGTGTATATACACATACAAAGTGTTTCTTTTGTAGATCTTGCTCTGAAAAGTTGGGTGGTCATTATTCTTGCACAGCAGTTTTCGATCAGAGGTGATTTTGTCTTTCAGAGGACATGTGACAATGTCTAGAGATATTTTTGACTGTCATAGCTTGGAGGGTGCCACTGGCATCTAGTGGGGTGGAGACTGGGCTGCTCCTAACCCTTCTGCTCTGCACAGGACAGTCCCCACAGCAAAGAATGATTCTGCCCAAACTGTCAATAGTGCTGCTGTTGAGAAACTGATTCCAGTGGAACAGACAGGCACGTAAACAAACACATGAAAGAAAACAGGGAAGGGAATTACAGGGCAGGTGGCAAGTGAGCCTGGGAGGGAGAGGGCAAGGCGGGGGAACCACAGTTACTGACTCACCAGCTCTACTGGGCACTGACCTGAGTGGAAAAAACATTTTTTTTTTTTTTGAGATGGAGTCTCAATCTGTCTCCTAGGTTGGAATTCAATGGCAAAATCTCGGCTCACCGCAACCTTCATCAGCTGGGACTACAGGCGTGTGCCACCATGCCCAACTAACTTTTTTATTTTTAGTAGAGACAGGGTTTCACCATGTTAGCCAGGATGGTCTCAATCTCTTGACCTTAGATGAGATACATACATTAAAAAAGAGAGAGAATGAAAAGACAGAAAGTGAGATGACGAGGTAAGGAGACGGAGACCATCCGGGCTATCACAGCAAAACCCCATCTTTAGTAAACATACAAAAAATTAGCCTGGCGTGGCACCTGTAGTCCCAGCTACCTGGGAGGCTGAGGCAAGAGAATCACTTGAACCCAGGAGGCAGAGGTTGCAGTGAGCCAAGATCACCCACTGTACTCCAGCCTGGGAAACAGAGTGAGACTCTGAGAAAAAAAAAGAAAAGAGAGAGAGAGAAAAGAAAAGGAAGGGAGAGAGAGAAAAAGAAAAGGAAGAAAGAAAGTGAGAAAGAGAAAGAAAGAAAGTCCAGGCGAGGTGGCTTATGCCTATAATCCCAGCACTTTGGGAGGCCAATGTGGGAGGATCACCTAAGGTCAGGAGTGTGAGACCAGTGTGCCTAATATGGCGAAACCCTGTCTCTACTAAAAATACAAAAAATTAGCCAGGGCAGGAGAATTGCTTGAACCCAGGAGGTGGAGATTGCAGTGAGCCGAGATAGGGTCACTGCACTCCAGCCTGGGCAACAAGAGCAAGACTCCATCTGAAAAAAAAAAGAAAAAAGAAAAAGGGCCAAGAGTGGAGTATTACAATTTAAGACATCTAGTACATAGCAGCACAGTTAGGGGTATGGACAAGTGAAAGTCTTGGAGTAGAAAGCAAAGAACTCTGTTTATTAATAATAATCACCTGTTCAGAGAGAACTCTTCAGAACGCTGGTCTCTCTGAACAGGTGATTATTATTCACAAACAGGTGTCCTGTGTTTTCTTATAGAACCAAGATAAACTAGGTGGGCAGCTGGTGCCTGCTTACCACTGATCAAGGACAAACTAGAAAGTATTCTCCATGAGGGAGCCACGGGGGCAGAGTCACATACCCTGTACTTAAAGAATTGTTTTAACCAGTGTATGATATACATATACTGTTTGCTGCTTTGGAATGCCCCAAGCAGTTTTCCACTAGGGGTGGTGGCTAGGTTTTCCTTGCCATCGTTCTTCTTAGCAAACAATATTAATTTTATAATACACTCAGCACTTCTCAACACACCATGTTGGCCAGGCTAGTCTGGAACCCCTGACGTGGTAATCTTCCCACCTCAGCCTCCCCAAGTGCTGGGATTACAGGCATGAGCCACCACACCCAGCCTCTGATTTTTAAAAAAATTATTTTTATTTCTTCAGGTTGAGACTGAGCTTAATCTGTGGTGACATTCTGGATGTACTGGACAAACGCCTCATTCCAGCAGCTAACGCTGGCAAGTCCAGTGTTTTCTATTGTGAAATGTAGCTTCTATACTAGAAGGGATTAAAAGTTGGCCTTTTTAGAATCATGACTTTATTCTATGTATTCTATTTTCAACTTTTATTTAAAAATAATTGTTTAGTGTTAGAAGGATAGATAATGCTGGAATAAAAAGATGGTCAGGCTATTATAACAATACATCAGCTTTTGCTTTATTTATATTCTTTTGCTTTCGTGGGACCTATCCCATTCCCTTCCCCCAAACACCCATACATTTCACAGTGCTGTCTGAATGGCTTACATAGAAATTTTGTGATTAAACACTGTTGTGCCATTTCTTGGAACCACTTGCTTAATTCTAGTCTATCAAGTGATAATTGTGTTGATTTTTAGAGTCTCCTCAGTTAAAATCTGTGGGACTTTTGCTTGTATTAAGCAAAACAATATGAAATGTCAAAGGAAAAAATGAAACAAAGCCAGCTATTCCTGAGAGTGCTTAAAATTATAGGAGTACACTTGTTACATGTATTTTGTCACATTTCATATATTTTATATAGAACAATGTTTAGCTATTTTCCTTTAAAAATTGTTATTCCTGGTTTATTTTATTTTATTTTATTTTGATGGTGTCTCACTTTTTCACCCAGGCTGGAGTGCAGTGGCACCATCTTGGCTCACTGGAACCTCCGCTTCCCAGGTTCAAGTGATTCTCCTGCTTCAGTCTCCCGAGTAGCTAGGATTACAGTTGTGCACCACAAACCTGGCTAATTTTTGTATTTTTAGTAGAGATGGGGTTTCACCACATTGGCCAGGCTGGTCTCTAACTTCTGACCTCAGGTGATCTGCTCACCTCAGCCTCCCAAAGTGCTAGGATTACAGGTGTGCGCCATCGCCCCGGCCTTAAATATTTTGTTTTGTTTAAGAAAGGGAACTCCCACAGGTATCTGGCAGAATTTGCCACAGGAAAGGACAGGAAGGAGGCTGTGGAGAATAGCCTCGGGGCTTACAAAGCTGCTAGTGAAGTTGCAATGACAGAATTTCCACCAACACATCCCATTCACTTACGTCTTGCTCTCAGTGTTTTTGTATTCTATGAAATTCTGAACTTCCCCGACCCTGCCTGCAGGTGAGCTGTGGGAAGAGCACAAGCTCTCAGCGTAAAAGTGAAGAAGGAGAGCTGTTTACCTTTTCCGCCTTGTTTCTTGGGACTGCTTTTGTAGGCCTGGCTGTGTAGTAATTCCTCTGGCTCTGACTGAAACCACTTTGGTTAGTGTTAAAACAGACCCATCTCAATACTCCACAGCTGTTTGTTGAATGACTGGATAACAGCATGGCCGGCTGGTCCTGGTGCAAAAAGTCTTGGGAGGCCTCAGTTTGAATCCTGCTTCTGTCATTGATTAGCTGTGTGCTTCTGCATAAGTAGTTTAACCTCTCTGGGCCTCAGTTTCCCCATCTGTAACTTGGGGGCTCCCTCAAATGGGTTCCTGGTGAAAGTAACAAGACCATGGCCTGAGTAAGTCCCAGTTGCCTTTTCCTCTGTCTTTACACCCTCCCCTCCAACCCCTACAAATCCTTTTTTTTAAAACGGTCTCACAGGCTGGAATGTCATTGCAGCCTCTACCTCCCAGGTTCAAGGGATCTTCCCACCTCAGCCTCCCAAGTAGCTAGAACTAGCGTGCGTGCCATCACGCCCCGCTAATTGGTTTTGTGGGGCTTTTTTTGTTTTTGTTTTTGTTTTTTGGTATTGACCGGGTTTCTTTCTCCCTGTTGGCCAGGCTGATCTGGATTCTGGTCTCAAGCGATCCTCCCACCTTGGCCTCTCAAAGTGCTGGGACTACGGGCGTGAAACACCGCCCCCGCCCCCTCGAAATTTATTAAGACGAGAGTCTCGCCAAGGCAATGCAATCGCAATATGACGTTTCCATTTACTTTGGATTATATGTCATTATGAATATTAACAAGACTTAAAAAGGACACCTTCGGGTGGGTCAGACGAAAGTACAAAAATGGCGTGGTGGGGCTGCAGTTTGAGGACACTGTGTCTGCTGCCGCATTGGTAGCAAAACCGTGTTAAGCAGAGTGCGAGAGTCTGCGTCGACGACAAACAATCCATGCAGCGGGAGGTTCACTTGGTTTGAGAAGGAACAATAGGCAGGGCGTGCGCTGCCCGGGACTCCGCGGGCAGGCTGGCCAGGGTGCGGTTCCTCGCACTCGCCACTAGAGGTCAGGAGGTGACCGTCTCAGGCTGGAAGACGGGCCCTCTGGTATTGGCGAGTGCCCGCCCGGGATGGAAACCAGGGCGGGGTTGGATGCGGCGCCTCTGGCGGCCCCTGGTTACTGACACCCGATTTTGGCAAGACTTTTTTGTTGTTGTTGGCATCAGATTTCCTGTCTTTGTGGGGCTGATGGACTAGAGGAAAGTTGAGAGTCAAAGGCAGAGCTTTGAGAGCTTCTGCAGCTTCTCAAAGTCCTTTTTTTTTTTTAGACAGAGTCTTGCTCTGTCGCCTCCCTGGAGTGCAGTGGCGCTATCTCAGCTCGCTGCAACCTCCGCCTCCCAGATTCAAGCTATTCTCCTGCCTCGGCCTCCCGAGTAGCTGGGACTACAGTCGTGTACCCCCATATCCAGCTAATTTTGTATTTTTAGTAGAGATGGGGTTCTGCCACGTTGGCCAGGCTGGTCTCGATCTGCTGACCTCGTGATCTGCCCACCGTGGCCTCCCAAAGTGAGCCACCGCGCCTGGCCACAAAGTGCTTTCTTTAACAGAGAGACAATCTATCTGTAGGGGGTCTAGAACGGTTCTGAAATCCTGGTAAAGGTCTGGAAATTTCCTGTGGGCGAGTGCCCGCCCGGGATGGAAACCAGGGCTGGGTTGGATGCGGGGCCAGTGGGCCCCGCCTCCCAGTATCAGCCTGGACCATCTTTTGGGACCAGCCCCATTTGCACAACCTGAGCAGTACAGGGCCCTGGACTGGAGTCTGGAGTTAGAGGTTTTTGTCCCAGCCGTGTCCCTGCAAGCCCCTTCCTCCCATTGGGGCTCAGTTTCCCCGTGTGCCTAATAAGGAAGTAATGCTAGGAGGGGCTTACAGCCTCCTGTAGCTTTGTCATTCATCACTTCCGAGTTTTCAGAGAGGCTGGCAAGTCTCCTCTCTGAATGAGGCCAACAACAACAACAACAAAAGTCGTGCCAAAGTCGGGTGTGAGTAACCACACTCAGCTAATTTTTGTAATTTTAGTAGAGACAGAGTTTTGCCATGTCACTACTAAAGCAAAGGAGAAGATACCCAGAGCTTACCCAGACACCAGACCCTTTAGAAATAGACCACCACTTGGGCCAGGCATGGTGACTCACACCTGTAATCCCAGCCCTTTGGGAGGCCAATGTGGGAAAATCACAAGGTCAGGAGATCAAGACCATCCTGGCCAACATGGTGAAACCCCGTCTCTACTAAAACACAAAAAACTAGCCCGATGTGGTGACACATGCCTGTAGTCCCAGCTACTCAGGAGGCTGAGGCAGGGGAATTGCTTGTACCCAGGAGGTGGAGAGTGCAGTGAGCTGAGATCATGCCACTGTACTCCAGCCTGGCGACAGAGCGAGATTCATCTCAAAAAAAAGAAATAGGCCACCTCTTACCTTAAGCCCCCATAGGGTCCCCATTTTGCTTCTTGGAGAAAAGAGGAGCCCTTGCCTCAGCCCCCAGAGGCTAGGGTGGGGTGGCTGAATTGTGGGGCTGGGTCAGGTGCCTCTGGGGAAGCCCAAAGTGGCATGGATGGTTTCAAAGCCAGCTAGAGGATAAGGTGTCAGGACAGTGACAAGACCCCTGGTCCCTATCACACAACAGAGCTTACTGAGCCTCCACCTGGGGTCTCTGCTGAGTCTTCAACAGACCAGGAGGGAAGGGATTGGGGGTACCAACCCCCAGAAAGTCAGAGAATGTGGCAGTCAGAGGACTTGGGTCTGAGTCCTGGATCACCCCTTCCGGGCCTTGGCACCCTACTCAGACTCTGGAAACCTGTTTCACCTGTAAGATAGGGATGACAATCAAACCCATGTGAAGGGCTGTGAAGATGCATTACGACAAGTGCATGCAAAAACCTGCACACACACACAAAGCCTTCCTAAAGATGGGGAGACAAGGCTTCATGAGCAGCATGTGGCCAGGTACTATGTGGGGGATGGGGTCCTGCTTTTCCTGCAACCTGGGAAAGGGCTGATGGGCACTTGGTGGGATTGAAATCATGACCCTGGACCTCAGGTGGTAGTGTGCTTTGTGTCTGCAGCAAAAGGTCCCACCCTTGTGCCTGTGAGTCCCTCTACCGGTGTTGAAGGGGTGGACATCAGGTGGGTGAGCTCCAGGCTGGCAGCTAGCAAGACCTCTTCTGTGTGAGCCCAGCACCCCAGTTCCCTTAAAGTGTGATATCAACCTAGTAGTAATCTGGGGTTAGGGAGCACGTGGATCCTAGTTTCAGCTGTGTCAGGGCTGGAAGGCCCTGGGCAGGTCACCTGCCCTCTCGGGCCCTGTTTCCATCACACACTGATGGGCACACTGGACTCTGCGGTTGTACAGCTCCTTGGCTCTGCATTGTTCCTGAGGGCCCCTTAGTAGGCAGGGAAAGTTTGAGGGCTTCAGGGCTGGGCCCCAAGATTCAGATGCCCTCTCAACCCCTTCCTGGAGAGCCTAATTCAGGCGAGCAGATATGCTTGAACCCAGGAGCTGAGATCGTGCCACTGCACTACAGCCTGGCGACAGAGCAAGACTCCATCTCAAAAAAAAAAAAAAAGAAACGAAAAGAAAAAGGCCACCTCTTAGGCCCCCAGAGGGTCCCCATTCTAGCTTTGTGGAAAAAAGAGGAGCCCTTGCCTCAGCCCCAAGAGGCTGGGGTGGGGTGGCTCTCTTGCTTAGCTCCTGGAGCTATATGTTTTTTGTAGCCTAATATTTTACTTAATAGGTCATGAGCATTGACTATTTCTCTAAACCATGACTTTCAAGACAGAGCAAGACTCCATCTCAAAACAACAACAACAACAACAACAAAACACCCATCACCACAACTGTCTGAGAGACTGCGAAGTCTCAAGAACTCTGATGGCACCAACTTCTTGCAGTTGTGCAAAATGATCCCAAACAGCTACTCTTCTGTTCTTGTTTCATTACTATATGAAAGTCCATTGTATTAATATACAATCACTTAACCGAGTCTCTTGTTGAATGTTTTCTAATTTCTGGTTGATTGACATGTAACTCTTCAGATGTTGAATCTTGACATATGATGTAAGGCACAGATGGGACTTTATGGCTTTCCAAGCCCTTAGCCAATCGTCCCTGCACCATTGATTTAATAATCAAGACATCGTCTCCCCACGGCTTTGAACTGCCTCGGTGCCCATGTCCTTCATTCCTGCAGGTCTTTGTGGGCTTCCTAGTTACTCTTCCCACTGCTCTTCTATTCTCTAGCTAGTCCCGACCCTCTTTGACTTTGCAGCAGAAAGTTCAGTGGTGGGATGGCCAACCACCCAACACTGGTTCTGCTTTGGTTCCTCTGCTGGATAGGGCTTGACGCCGCTTTTGCTTGGGAATGTCAACTGCAGCCAGTTGTGACTGAACATTTCGTATTGACATTTAAAACCAACACTTTCTCTTTAAGAGGGAAAAAATGTTTCTATGGTTGTGGAACTAGGTCTTCATAGTAACTACAGTCATCATCCTTAAGAACTCCCATCACTGGCCAGGAGTGGTGGCTCACGCCTGTAATCCCAGCACTTTGGGAGGCCGAGGTGGGTGCATCACGAGGTCAGGAAATGGAGACCGTCCTGGCTAACATGGTGAAACCCTGTCTCTACTAAAAATACAAAACTAAGCTGGGCATGGTGGCGTGACTCTGTCCCCACCCCACCCCCCCAAAAAAAAAGAGTGCCCATCACCATAACTGTCTAAGAGACTGGGAAGTCTCAATAACTCTGATGGCACTGACTTCTTGCTATTCTGCAAAATGATCCCAAACTCATACTCTTTTGTTCTCCTGGCTGCTTTTTTAAATTGTTCTGTCTCCCACCTCGGTGTCAAGTCATCCACAGTCACTTCTTGCCTCTAACAGCTCTCCTTCTTGTCATATTCTGCCCTGATCACCCATAGGTTGCAAACTCCAATAATTAAGCTTGGTGACGTTTTTGGTTGCTGCTGTATACTGCCTGCCTCTTTGTGCCAGGCTCTGCTAGACAGTTTCTGTAACCTCGAATCCTTACCACAACTCTGTTGTATAGCTGTGATTATCCTTACATGTTGAGATGAGAATTGTTTAGCAGTGAATGATGATAGACCGTTTCTGAAACAAGGAGGATAGTCGTGTACCGGCAACTTGAAGGATCCTCTGGGGAAAGCATCTCAGTAAAGCCCCTGAGTCTCAGTGTGTGGGAGGGAGAAGGGGAAATGTAAGTCAGGTTGCAAAGCATTATCAAGAACAAAGAGGGAACAGGAGTAGAGAAAGGCAGGGGGCCTCTGGCCAAGCAGGATTTTTGAGGGGTAGGAAGGAATTAGATGAAGAGCTGAAGTGGAGGCATTGGTTTGGGGGTGGGGGCGATATCCGCTCCTCTGAGTTATCATAGGAGGAGAAGCTATATAAAGATGCAGAGAAATGGGGAGGTTGAGCAAAGCTGCTGGTCACAGATGTTTTGTGGGAAAGGAGAGAGAAGTCATTGGACAGAGCTGTTGAGCTTCTCATTGGGAAGAAGCCCAGTGGCCCACAGCAGCAGCTGGCTTGAAACTGGACCCTATATCGACTGCTGGCACTTCCCTAGCTGACTTCTCTCTCCGACAGTGTTTGGAAGGGATCACCTCCCAAAGCAGCTGCTTGCTTCCAAATCCTTTGTCCTGGGTCAGCTTCCAGAGGAACTACAAGATGGCATCGATGCCTACAGCGTTACCCACCACGGTGCAAGTCTACATTTCCAGCCCTAAACTCAAGTCCTAGATTTTCAGCTACCTCTTGGATATTTCCACTTGGATGTCTGTGTAGGGTAGTTCATAAGGCTCTGTTTATAACGATCCACCTTTGGGACTGGAAGGAAAGCAAAGGAAAATAATATTAGCCTTTTTAGTAGAAACTTTTCTGCAGAAATTTTGTTGTAATTTTTTTTTGGAAAGAAACGACATCTAAGGTTCAGAAAGTATGTCTCAGTTTAAAATATATCCTGGATTAATGATAACTGGTTAGCAAGACCTAGTAAGAAAAACTGTTCACATATTAAACTCATTTTCCTAGATACGATAAAGCAGTTGGGCTAAAGTTAACTACACCCTCATTCCTCTAAATAGGACTTAGGAAAGAAATACGCTAATAAGTGGTAAGCCCTGACATCTGGGTCACAGCCTTGGAGCTGGGAAGAGTTGGCCCTGCTTTCACAGCAGGGGAAGGGGGAGGAACTATGGAAGGCCTGAGCCCTGGTCATCCACAAGGGTCATTGGTGTTGCAGTGACCAATGTCATCCTGACACCCAATGTCATGTCTCCAGCTTTCCCAGAGCAGGAAAAATGCAGGCCCTCGCAGCTGAGCCAAGGTCTAGAAGACCATGAGCATAGTAACTCCTGCAAATCCCATCCAACCTGGGGCCATGCTGGTGTCATGTCCTGAGACCAGGGAGGGGACAGTGGGCAGTTGGGAAATAGGTGCCATCTCTTCTCTCCATTAAGTACCTGGTGTGTAGTGTGTTTAATTAAAACAAAACTTGGAAGTTGGCGAGAGAGAGCCGACATGGGCAACTTATACATAACTGGAGCTCTCCTGGAAGCTGTTCTGATACTTCCCACCTGGTCAACAAGCTGCTTATCCAGTCAACAGGGTGCTGTGCTGGGAGGAGCCTGGGCTCCGAGGTCAGACAGGCCTGGATTTGAATAGCTATGCAGCTTTGGGAAAGGAGTCACCCTTTCTAGCTACCCTGATCTGTTAAGCACCGATTATGTGCTGAAGCAGAGTACTGGCACCTCACCTGTATTATCTAATTGAATCTTCTGAATGACCCTCTGAAACGTGCTATCATTCGAATTTTACAGATGAAAAAGTGAGACTCAGAGGGATTGAATAACTTGCCCAATATCGTACAGCTTGTAAACTGCAGAACCAGCACTTGAGCCCACATAGATTTACCTGCAAAACCTGTGTTCTCTCCACCGCCCTGCCCACCTTCCTCTCTGAGCCATTTCCTGGTCTGTAACCTGAGCTACAAATACCTACTCACTCCTCATTGTGAAGACCAGATTAGGCCACAGTAGCCACAGTGGAAGGCATCCTGTCAGGCACTTGACAAAGACTGTCTCTATTCTTCCCAACAAGTCTATGAACCAGATAATATTATCCCATTATGCAGTCGAGAAACTGAGGCTTAGAGAGATGACAGTGATTTTTGCGACTCTGGCACTCCCATGGGCTGAGGCCCCGCCTCCTTCCCCGGGCACCCCTCTCACTCATTGTGTGTTAGTTGCTCAATATCTGCTCATTAAAAGATTTTTTTATATCCAAATGGAATTCAGCACAATGCCAGGGCCCCTTGTGGTTGTCAAAAAAAAAAAAAAAAAAAATCTGCCAAATTGAATTAAAGGTAGATTTGGCTTTTTTCATCTAATTGTTAAAATATGTAGAAATGGCTTATTTAATGCACACGGATTTTTTTACTTAGATCGTTACTCTCTTGAAATATGGGGGTGTAGTCAATTCTCTGGAGGACTTAAGGTGTTGAAGATATGTCAGGAAACAAATATAAGCTGTAAGGGGAAGAAAAGAGCTTTTATCCACATAACAAGCATCCCTGGCATTTCTTTTCTATAAAGCCAAAGATCTTCCTCCTCAGGCTTGGCCCGGCCATCTTTCTGAGGCATCCTTGCCAGGCCAGGAAGGCCTCATAGCGGCTCTCCTCTTCTAGGCCACCAGCAGTGTGCGGCAGCTGTGAGCTGGAGTCGCTCAGGGGAAGGGCTGAGGCCTAGGGCTTGAAGCTGGCATGCAGGCCGACACAGGGCTCTGCCTTTTCAGGAGGCTGCCGAGACACACTGTGTTCTTGGCTTCGGTTGCCCCTGACAGCTAGTGCCAGCCATGCATCCCTCCTGACCTCCAGGCCCTCAGCTCTTTCCTGAACTGACAAGAGTCTCCAAGAGGGCCCCGTGGGCACCGGCACACCTGCAGGTCTCCAGCTCCTGTCTCACCAGCCACCAGCGGGTCTTTCCCAACACAAGCTAACCCTCCAAGGCTCCTTGTTTACCCCTTCTGGCATCTCAGCACCCTCCTGGCTGCTGCCCCTTTGCCATCTACCAGCCCTTGCCCACCTGTGTGAACCACGGCCACATGTGGGCAGGGTCTTTGCTGCCAGCCCAGGACTTTGCCTGCCCAGCTCCTACGCACACTTTAGGTCCCAAAGATAGACACATCATTTCCTCTGGGGAGCTGTCCCTGAGCACCTGTAAGATGGGGATATTTGCAGCACTCAGCTCGTAGGGTTGTTATAGGAGTCAGTGAAATGATGCATATGAGGCCTCTAGGAGACAGTTGAGCCGAGAATCAGTGAGACCTAATGAATGCTCATCATTATGGTTATTCTGATTTCTGCCATATTACTCGCCACAGTATACCCCGATTGCCTGTTTACGCAGCTGCCTCCCTGCCAGGCCGTGAGCTCCTCAAGAGTTAGCGTCCTGCCTTAATCACCTGTCTCTCTACCTAGCACCTGGCCAGGCACATGGCAAACTCTCTGCACGGCTCCGTTGAATGAATTGGGAAGGCATTAAGTATCCCCGTTTTACAGACCGGCAAACGAGGCCTACAGAGGAAAAATGACTCACCCCAATGACACTGATAGTCAGGGATGGGGCAGAAAGGAATTAAAGATTTGGAGGGTCTGTTTCCAATGCTGTTCCCTGCACTGCTCTGTTACTGGACAGAGAGAGGCAGGATCCAGGAGAAATCAAAACACAAAGAGTCATTATTTTCAACTTTGTTATTTTTTACTATACCTGACTCTTGTCTTTCCAAACATGGTTTTCCTGATAATTCAGGACCTGAAAGAAAAACCTTCACACAGCTTTGCTCTTAAACAGGGATCGGAAAGAGCGACTGGCATTTTGGGAGGTCAAGGCAGGCAGATAACTTGAGGTCAGGAGTTCAAGACCAGCCTGGCCAACTTGATGAAACTCCATCTCTACTAAAAATACAAAAAAATTAGCCAGGCGTGGCAGCAGGCGCCTGTAATCCCAGTTACTCTGGAGGCTGAGGCAGGACAATCACTTGGACCCAGGAGTCAGAGGTTGCAGTGAGCCAAGATCACGCCACTGCACTCCAGCCTGGGTGACAGACGAAGAATCCATGTAAAAAAAAATAAAAACAGGAGCAACTTGGGCTTTAGAGCTGAAAGCAGCCTCCAAGATCATCTAGTCCACCCACCCCACTGCCTCCTCAAGATGGGAGGTGAGTCTTGCACAGTCACACAGGGGTAGCTGACCTGGACTCCCTTTACAGTGCTCCATTCATTCACAGGAAATTAGACAGCATCAGCACAGGCTGAGGAGCAGAACAGAGCCTGGGTATTTATAGGACAAATATTTATGGAAGCCTCTGGCATTGGCAGTCAAGCCATGCCACCTCCAACAGGTCCTCACAGAGGCAGTAAAGCCCATACAGGAAGGGAGGCAAAGCTCAGGGGTGGCAGACAGGTGGGGCTTACCCCACCAGAAGGACCTTTCCTGTCCATGCTCTTTTCAGCTTTGTCAAGAGAGGCGGCAATTACCATCTGAGCCTAGAGATTTATGGCCGAGGAAGGAACCAGGGTTGTCCCACCTTACTCAGCCTTT